GTCCATGAAAGGGCAATCTGGGTACATGTTTTGCATCGCCTTTTTGGGGTCGAAGCACAAAAGAGTTCTGTTTGAAAGGAACTTATGCCCAAGGTGATGGTTCCGGGTGCTCACATTCAGGGTAGAAATTTGGCCCCTCCAAAAAGACACCAACATGACTCCTTTTGCCCAAGTTTCTAGCCTTGTGTCCTTTGAGCGTGTTCCAAAACAGCTTGGAGCGACCCAAACAAGGATACGGCCTTTAACAGCTGAGGTTGCGAGTTTGACAGTGGGTCAAGTGCTTGCGTGACTTGATTCTGGGAGGCTTTGAATTGGCGAATTGGGCATGGTGGTGAGCGAAAAAACTGCAGATGCCTGGTTGGTACTGACAAACCTCCCAAACTGCCTCATTGGCTCAAGTGCCGGGAAAAGGACTGGCCCCACTTATGAACAAAAGGGTAAAGTGGCCACCCTCCATTCGCTTAAGTCCCCTGGGAAAAAAAACGAGCGCAACACATGTCCAGTAGTGAGAAATAACGATTTCCGGTAAAGCCAACAGGGAAAGTTCAAGCATCCGACTCCCAACGCATATTGAGCCATTGGAAACCCTACTCCTTTGCCCAAATCAACCCTCTGACCCCACTGACCCACGGCGAGCTCAGGGCGGCACGCCCCCGACGAAGAAGAGAAACCTTGCAGCAGATGCCATTGGCTTGTCTCGAGCGGTCAACCCGGTGTGTCTATTTGTGCTTCAGGGATCCCACCCCAGAAAGTGATGGTTGTCCTGGTAGTTTCCTCAAAAAGCCAAACCGCCAAAAAAAAGATGCCTTTTAGTTTCCCGTTAAAAGCGCCACACGAAAACGGCGTACCCGCAGAAAGGACAGCCCAATCTGTGTGGCGTCCTTTTGGTTCCAAAACCTCAGCAGATTACGCTGAAACAAGGGACCCTCGGCCTTTACCCTACGAACTTTAGACACCTCCAAGTAAGGGGAAGCGTTGTTCGGGGGATGACAGCGGTTCCAGCTTGGCTTTGGCCGCGTCTTCAGCAAACGCTGTTGCAGTTGCTGTTGCTGTTGCTGCTGTTGTTGCTGTTGATGTTGCTGTTGCTGTTGCTGTTGCTGCAGCTGCTGCTGCTGTTGTCGTGGTTGTGGTTGTGGTTGTGGTTGTGGTTGTGGTTGTGGTTGTGGTTGTGGTTGTGGTTGTGGTTGTGGTTGTGGTTGTGGTTGTGGTTGTGGTTGTTGTTGTTGTTGTTGTTGTTGTTGTTGTTGTTGTTGTTGTTGTTGTTGTTGTTGTTGTTGTTGTTGTTGTTGTGGTTGTCGTTGTTGTCGTTGTTGTTGCTGTTGATGTATCTGTTGCTGTTGCTGTTGTTGTTGGTTTGTTTGTTTGTTTGTTTGTTTGCTTGCTTGATTGTTTGTTTGGTTTGTTGGTTTGTTTGTTTGTTTGTTTGATTGTTTTTGTTTGTGGTTGTGATTTGTTGTTGTTGTTGGTTTGATTGATTGTTTGTTTGATTGTTTTTGTGTTTGTTATTGATTTGTTTGTGATTTGTACACCTAATGAGGATAGTTCCCAGTGGTTGCTTGTGCCGGCTTGTTGTCTTGTGTTGTTGGCATGTTTTTTTAGTGGAAAAAGGTGTTTTTTATGATTATTGGGTTGTTGGAAAATGTCGGAGTATGTGAAAACTGGGGAGCAAAGTTGTCTGAAGGAACATACATACATACAGACATACATACAGACAGATGATTACAAATGTATTACATACATAATACATGCAATGCATGCAGGCATGCATACATACATACTACCTACCTACCAACCATACATACATACATTACATTACATTACATTACATTACATTACATTACGTTACGTTACATTACATTACATTACATTACATTACATTACATTACATTACATACATACATACATACATGCATGCATGCATACATTACATACATACATACATACATACTTACATACATACATACATTACATTACATTACATCACATTACACTACATTACATTACATACATACATTGCATACATACATTACATTACATTACATTACATTACATTACACACATGCATACATGCAATACATACATACATACATGCATGCATGCATGCATGCATACATACCTACCTACCTACCTACCTTACATACATACATACATTACATTACATACATTACATTACATACATACATACATACATACATACATACATACATACATACATACATACATACATATATACATATACATACATACATACATACATACAAGAGAGGGAGATTGGGGAGAGAGTGGCTTGGGGGGATGGGGAGGATGGGGAGCGGAGGGAGGGAGAGAGGACGACAGAACACACCAGGGAGACAAGGGAGAGAGGAAGAAGGAGAAGAGGGAGAGGACAATGTCGGCGGACTGAGCCGGAGGCTCTAAAGTTTGATTGATTGTTTGATTGCTTGTTTGTTTGCTTGTTTGTTTTGATTGTTTGTTGCTGTTGCTGTTGTTGTCGTTGTCG